TTTATTGTTAACAAGATCACTACTACCTTATATGGCAGCTTAAGCTACTTATATATGGGAGAAAAAATTTAACAAGACTTACTACTACTTTCCCTACTCTCTCGATGTCCCTAGTACGCATATAGCAAGGAGCATTACTTATCATTGTAAGAATTTTGCTCTGCGCTACTCTTATTTTGCTTGCAGTAACAGCAGAAGACAACAATCCTAATTACATCCTTAGAGCAAATAATGTTTGCACGCTCTTGTAAGCAGCTGCCCACTCTTTTTCGTCGACCCTTTGCCTCGTGCATTAACGCCCGCTGCCCATCGTTCTGAGCGGAGCTCAATTTTGTTCGTTTTACATATAGTTAGTGTTTCGTTTCATCGCAAGCGAGCACAACTATTTCGAGTTGACTGCTGAGCAATAATATAATATAATAAGTGCCCTATGCGGCAAATAAATACATTCGTAACAAAAATATCGTTCTTTTAATTTCGCTGCTCACCAATAGTGCTTTCTTTTCGTTTCATTCGCTCTTTTCGCATTTACTTTTATATTTTAATTTCGTTGCGTACATTAACAAGCCACAGTTGTTCATTAAGTGCTGCGCGCCTCAACATAAAATGTATTTTTTGTAACCAGTATGTCCATAACCGTAGTTAACCGCATGCTTGTGCATCTGCATACAGTTTGCCGTTGTACATAAACGCCGTTAGAAAAATCGCCGTTAATCGTTGCGCGATATAATCAGCCATCTACGCTATTTCGCTCGAACGAACACTTGTGCGCGCAGTTTGTATTGTAGTTAGGCTGTGAGAACCTTGTTGTGCGCTACATTTACAATGTTTGATGAAGGTGCAAGTGCAAATGAAAATGAAGCGGCATCTGCTAATCAAGTGGCGGTTGGAACACAGGCTGCAGTTCTGAAAATAAATATTAAGAATTTAAGTGCTCGACTCAATAGATTGTCCTCTGAACTTGATCCCGCGCGACTTCGCGATGTTCATGACTACGAGCTTCAAGATTACATAAGCATGGCATCTGACTTGCAGGTGAAATTTGAAAAATCGATTATAGTTTGTTGGATGTAAGTCAGGCCAGCAGTGAAGAGGATCTTCAATCAAGTTTAGGCGGCTGCGAGCAAGCTGAGCAAAAGCTAATTATGCTGCCGCTTTAGAACCGCTTGATAAGCGATTTAATATCAAGCGTTTTGTTTTTCAGCCACATATCGGTGAAATTGTAGGTTTAAGAAAGGTGGATAAGGGTGCAACGACACAACTGCGCGAATTCTTAGATAAGGTCAACTCTCATCTACGTGCGTTAAAATGGATGCGTAGTGTGGAACAGATCGCCGGTTGTATCATAGTACACACACTTCTGCAAAACCAGATAGCGCCACGCAAAGCTAGCTGGGAGGGTGGGCCAGAACAACAGTAGTAGAAGAACGTATTTGGTGACCAAGAATGGAACATATGCATGTGTATTTTGTGAAGCCGCAGGCCACTCAATTTATAAATGTTTGCAATTCTGTTGCATATTGGTAACCCAAGCATTCATATCGCTGCTTCTAGCTCACACAATGTTCAATACACCGAAATTTATTTCTCATTTCAGAACATCCTGACGGCAACTTCATCTTCGCCACTCCCCATCGACCAGCATTTCAAGCACTGCCGTCAAAAATGTAAAATATCGCGCTGTCTACTTGGTGCCCACCGTGCGTTGCTCGACTCTGGGTCGCAATTGCACACCTTCACCTCTCGCCTTGCTCATCATCACCAGCTGCGCAAATTAAAATCCACGGCAGTCGTTTCTGGCATTGGTGATGTAGCACTTGCGTCAGATGGTTTTTCGGCAAACATCAATGTCCAATCTCGGAGTACTCCACATGCATTCCGACGTTGATTGCACTATCCATCTCCGATAATCAGCCTTGGTTCACTCTTGACCCTGCATCATGGAACATTTCGTCAAACATACAACTAGCTGATCCTAAAGTCTTCAAATTTCAGCAAATCGACATGTTGATCGGAGCAAGTCTGTCTTTCGATCTGCTTTGCGACGGCCAGATTAAACTAGCTGCCGATACTGCAAAAGACTTGCTTATATGTTGGGTCGCGACTGGAGGTACTTGACATTCAGGCTAGGCGATCGATGGTGAATCCAGATCTGCTGGTAGACTCGCATCTGCAGACGAATGCACAGATGGACGAATTAATCCGTCGTTTTTGGGAACTGGAATATTGTACCGAGCCTGAGTCCTTACCAAACAGGGAGGAGCGCGACCGCGAGGCGGACTTTGAGGCCAATTTTAAACGTCTGCCGACTGCCGAGTATTCGGTTCGTTTACCGCTCCAACTAGGCATGGATCCGCTGGGTGACTCTTATCAACAGGCCCTTCGTCGATTCCTTAATTTAGAAAGGAAACTAGACCACAATCCAATTTTGAAAACATATGTATGAGCAATAAACGAATACCGTGGTAGTAAAGTCTCACGGGGTGTACGCCACGTTAAACAAATGTAGACTTTCTGTAAAAAGAAGATTGCTTTATGCCTGTATTGTTACGCTCATTATCTATTTTCTCTTTTTGTTTTCATTTATTCCAAACGAAATATCGATTTGCATTGATATTTCTTTACATCTGCATGAAATTAAGCAATAACGTCTGTTGTTAATATAATGCTATGTAATTGTCAATGCGTTGTAATATTTCTGGTAAGGTGGAAACCAAATATGAAATCGTAATTGGATTTTAAAAAGGGTAGATTGGTCGGCAGTAAAATTTCTGGAAATATTGATTTGAGCCTTGCAATAGGCAAATCTATGCACTTTGTGAACGAATTATATTCGTTTAATTCAAATTGATTTATTTATTTGATTAATAGCTATAGGGTTGTGGCGGGTGTGGTGCTTGCTATAAAATGAAAAATACTATAAATATATGATATTATGGGGTCGGAGATGCTTCCTTCTGCTTGTTAAATACATTGTACTTTTTTAAGCGTTTTAAATGGGTTCAAGGTATAAAAACCGGTTCATTGTTAGCTTTTGTTTTAAATGGGCGAATGGGCAAAAGCGAGCCCAACTTCAAATATTTCCACCACTTGAAATATGTTGAAATATTGCCACCATTTCACAGTAGAAAATATAATATTGGCAGCTAGTTTTCTTGCTTTAACAAAGGTGTAATGAGAGAAATAGAAAAACAAGTAAGAGGTTCTAGTCGGGAGCTCCCGACTAGGGGACACCCTGAACCCTCTTCTTCCAACATCAAATGCATATATATATTCTATTTTAGAAGCTATATGTCAAGTTTGGTAACTCTTACTCTTATTATTTACCAAAATTGCCCAAAAAACAGGATATCGATATAGATTTTTATCGATTGCTTGGAAACGGAGTAAGTTATCGATTATCGGAAACAAACTCGATCTGCGCGGGAACTAGGAGCCTCTACATTCAGGGTAGAATGAGAATTTCTTAAAATCTGTACCGATGATTTTAATGAAATAAAGTGTAAAATAAATGATAAGTCGTGCTTCATGTGCACAACTAGCGTGAATTTGCGGCCATTATCGCTAGCCCATATTTTTTATATTTTACAGCTTGTTTTTATACCCTGAACCCATTAAAAATGGGTATAAGGGTATATTGTATTTGTGCAAAATTCAAATGTATATAACAGGCAGAAGGAAGCATCTCCGACCCCGTAAAGTATATGTATTCTTTATCAGCATCAATAGCCGAGTTAATCTAGCCATGTCCGTTCGTCTGTCCGTCCGTCTGTCTGTCTGTCTGTCCGTCCGTCCGTCCGTATGTATGAACGCAAGGAACTCAGAACCTACAAGAGCTAGAGACTTGAAATCTTAGATATAGGTGCTCATAGTGCCCGCGCAGATCGAGTTTGTTTCCGATAATCGATAACTTACTCCGTTTCCAAGCAATCGATAAAAATCTATATCGATATCCTGTTTTTTAGGCAATTTTGGTAAATAATAAGAGCTAGAGTCACCAAACTTGACATATAGCTTCTAAAATAGAATATATATATGCATTTGATGTTGGAAGAAGAGGGTTCAGGGTATCCCCTAGTCGTGAGCTCCAGACTAGAACCTCTTACTTGTTTTGCATTAACATAGGGTGAAATGAAGGAAATGGAAAAATGCAATTTGCCCATAAACTGCGCTGTTAAGTATGACTGAATACTTCTCGTTTAATTTGCTTTGACTTTTTAATATAATTATTTGTGAATCCTTTCCATTTTTTTCATGAATAAATATAATTCAAATTGATTTGGTTCCCGCCCAATACTGTACAAAATTGTTCAGCACTGATTCCAGGCAATGATTCAGTTCGCGTAGGAACTAGCAGTTCGATAGACCATATCAATTAACTATATAAGATTGGTTTACAATTAATTTATTTTCTCAAAATCTGTACCGTCCATTTACTTAAAATGACTGCTTTAATCTTCTTAAAAGATGTATCTACAAGAGGGTATAGCGTGCATTGAGGGCCTTTGTATCTGAGTTAAGAAATAAGGTTCGAAATGATTTTCTCCGGTCATTTTATATGGTCCCGGCTCCCTTGCCGGCTGCACTCTTTGCCAAATATCTTAAAAATGATACCGACGATTTCAATAAAATTCTCACAGTTGGCTAGGTGAACCCATAGGATTTAATCGTGTCTATGCGGTTTTGGGGCCATCGTCCCTCGATTAAGACATTTAAAGAATGGTGGAGACCTGATGTTTTAACCCCTTGGTTTACCCATATTATAAATTAAAATTTAAAAACAAATGAATGTAGACAATAATTTTAAATTTAAATTAAAATTTATTTTTTTTATATTATTTATTTTATTCTGCATTTAAGTTTATTAGGTTTCGTGCTTAATATCATAAAAAATGCATTTAAAACTGACCGATACTTTTCCGATTGCAAGTACCAAAATAAGACTCTAAGTCACCGCCGCTAACTTGACGCAAATATTAATGTTTTATTAAAAATTAATGTATATTGAGCATTCCTAAGTGCAACTATGAATACTTAGCATCTACTAGAGTATTGTTTGGGGCCCCATAATCCTACTAATAATTGGGGAACACTTAATTTATATATTTTGTAATATAAATACAATTCTAAGGAGCTCGTCTTTATTAGGATCAGAAAAACAGCCTTTTTGGGTAAAATCGTCATATACATACATAGGTAATCATGTTTTTCTTCTTCGAAATTAGCCAGTGTCTTATACCTTATACACTTTACAGATAAAACCGCTTTAAAAAATTTACAATGGAAATTACTTTGGCCTTATTAAAACCGCACGTGGTGCGTAACACATACGCGATGCAGCAGTTAAAGAGCTTAATTGGCAGTAATTTTAATATCTTGGCAGCAAAGGAGCTACGAATAACAAAACAACTTTCAGAGAGTTTCTACGCGGACCACAAGGACAAATTTTTTTATCATCGCCTCACTACCTTTATGCAGAGGTCTGTAAAAGGTACCTATAATATTTGAATTTTTCTAAAAAAAAAAAGTTATAGCGGCCCCTGCTACGCAATTATACTACAATCTGAGTTATGCATACAAAAATGGCGTCGACTCATGGGTCCCACCAAGGTGTTTAATGCAGTGTATAACGAACCGGAGTGCATACGCGCCCTCTATGGACTCTCAGACACTCGCAATGCCTGTCATGGGTCAGATAGCGCAATCTCTGCGCGGCGAGAGATTGCGATGCTATTCCCGGAGTTCGATATAGGACAAGCTTACAATGAAAGGAAAGTCACACAATCTAAAACAATTAATAATTTCATTTAAATAATGCAAAGTGAATATCACACTTTGATAATTGATTGCAAACACCCTATTTTTGCTTTACATTTATTGTTTTATGGGATTATGGGAAAATAATGAAATATTTTATTGATTATGCTTTAATAATTCTTGTACCTCTTATAAGGCGCCTCTCGGTAATAGGGTAAGCCAGAGCTCTGGAGGCCGTATTGGGACGTATGATGGCATCATTTGTGATGTACCAAGGAAGGCCGGCCAACTTGCTTGTCGCCTGGGCGCATAATACCCTTAGCAGTAGGTGGACCGATGCCGTACCCCAAACTTGGAAGGCGTAGGTCCGACGTGAACATAACACGCAGATTTAGCCTTAATAATTGTGATATTCTTATCTGCTATCCATATTTCGACCTGTAGCATCCAGTCTTGCACTGCATCTGTTGCAACTTGGCTTGATGTGATGCCAGTCGTCAGCGTGCGTAGCTAGCAGTAGTCCCGCAGGATCATCAGTGGTGTTGTTACACCCAGCCGCTTATTTTTTTTTTAATATTATTTTATAACTAGCGGGGATTGCCCGGCACTGCCTGTGGAAAATTTGAGGCTAAAAATTTAGATTACCTTTCCACCAAGTTCACGACCGTGGAAAATTAAAATCCCCCCTACCAACTTGATTTACACTTCTATCCAAAAATAGGTAGAATTAATAAGTAAATGTTGGAATCAGCGGTTTTTTTTTGACCATGTTAGTCTTGTGGTGAAAATTGTGAAGCCGAAAAATAAAAAGCGGTAAACTCTCATCCGCATTTACCATCTCTTAGATGAAAAGAAAAGGAAAAGTGTGAAACACGTCTAAAATTAATTTTCATAAAGATCTTTGAAAATAATATTGAAGCCGATCGAATAGTAAACAAAAACTTTCAATCAAACGTTTTCCGTCAAATTTCCACACAGATTCTGCAAAAAGTTTAAGGCACGTCTCAAATAATTTCCCGTAAAGATCATTGGAAATGAATTTGAAAGTGAACCTTCAGCTAAACGAACCTTCAGCACGTAAGGTAATCAAGGACAAGCTGGTAGTGCCTGTTCTGCTAAAGAAATCCCAACAAGCTGCTCATTCCTGATGCCACTCATGTCGAAGGAAGCAGACAGGAAAATATAAGGCATCCAGAACAATTAAGAAGGCCAAAATGACACCAATTAATTTAATAAGTGGTCGGCCAGATGCAGCCCCTACTTCTGACACTGCGGCTGTTACACTTCGCAATAACCGATATAAAGCCCTAGCTGAGGAAGCTGACAACGTTATGGAACTGGATTCCTTATCAGATAGTGCAGAAAACTGGCCCTTAACCAGCGCAAATAGTCAACCTGACCGGACGAATCAAAATAAGACGTCTCCTAAAGCTCCAGCAATCTGTGTGTTTCCAGTTAACAAACTTCCCGAGTTGGAGCGGGCACTCAACGCTATTGTAGCAGAAATAGAATACGACGTGCAAAAGGAAAAAAGCAACTCGTTTAAGCCAGCTGCTGGTTTTCCAGAAAATGGGCTTACGTTTTTTCACAAGCAAAACATGCATGCCAATGCAAGTACCGGACAAGCATATGTATATCCCGGCTGTATTCTCTAAAACGGCTTTTCTTATGCTGACATGGCAAGGTCAGGAAACGTAGTACATAAAATGACTGCTGAGAAAAATGTCGCCACATTAAAGGAAAAAGAAATGGAAGATTTAGGGTTTAGTAAAAAGTTTCACCTATTAGAGAAATCAATTCACGACTTAAATTTGAGAATGGATTAAATGTTCAAACTGATACAGGAGACGATGGAAGCAAACAAAGCTTTTCGTAACATGGTTGAGCATCTCATCTCCCTAAAATCCAAATGACCGACCCGTATTTAAAAATCGGATTGTGGAACTCATTAGGTTTATTTAGGAACAATGATGAACTTAGGGTCTTCCATAGTAGCTACACTACAGACATAATGCAGATAACTGAAACACACATGTGTCTTGGATTGAAAACGTTTTTGGCCGGCTATTACCATGCTTATCACCCCAGTGGTAACTGCAGAGGTTACGCCGTGGACATTGTCCGATCTTCTGTTCGTCACTTTCAGAATAAGCCCATGGCGAGCAAGCAGGCCAAATTGCTTGGTGGGGCAACGTAAGCACGTGTCCTCGAGGAAAACGCGTACAGAAAGCCATAGCCAGCTGCTCATGCCAAGTCCTGGCCACAGGCAACCCAACATTTTATTCGTATCAGCTCACCACGTCTGCTGGACTTTTTCATAACAAACGGGATCGCTTGGGATAGGCTCACAGACAGACACTGGACAGAAGAATAAATGTCAACATGGTGTTAAGCGTTGCGGAGGACATTGAGGACACAATCTAAGGCAATCAGCAATTTGCACTTCGCCTAAGACGCTTCAACAACCGAATCAACGATGGGAAGTGCAGCTGCCGAAAAAAATTAGTCAGAGCACTAACGAGAAGAGTCAGATGAGAATATGTCAGAACGGGAGATGAACGTGCTCATCTAATCCATAGAAGGCTTGTCAATCGTCTACAAAATGTTCTAAATAGGTACAAACAGTCTCAAATTGATCGACTTCTGGACGATGCAGGAACAGATGCATCTACAGACTATTCGCTCTGGAAACTGACAAGCCGCTTAAAAAGACACAATTTTTCCAGTTAGTGAGAGCTTGAGAGTTGTCGACAAATCGACTCATACGCGCCGGAGTCCCAGTCCAAGGCAGCGTCCTCGATCCTATTGCCACGTATACAGATGACACTGCTGTGCTGACCAGCAATCCTCTAATAGGCACTGCCACAGAGGCGTTAAAAGAATACCTGGGTAGCTTCGAAACATCGGCCTTAGAATGGAATATCAGCATCAATAGTTCAAAGATGATATGGCTACTTTCTGCTAAGAACAAGCTTTCGCTTAAAAACAAAGAAATGATTTAAAAATCAATACTGACTCCTATATGGACCTATGCAATGTAAATGTACGGGATTGCCGCAGAATCCCAACTCAACAAAATAAAAGTAGCGCAGAGCAAAATTCTTAAAAGGATAAGGATAGGATGCGTACTAGGGACATAGAGAGAGACCAAGGAGTTCCCAATGTAGGAGACGTAATCCGTCAGAAAGCCAAAAGATACCTTGAGAGCCTGCTCCCATCCCAACCCACTAGCAGGCGCCTAACTTCTCATAGAAAAACAAGAATAAAGTGTCCCATTAGAGGAGACAGACGTCTCTCTAGGGCCAAAAAGAGAAGACAATCGGTGCCGTCCACAGGATTTACCTAACAGGTTCCTATATGACATCTCGTTGATAAAATATTATATTCGAGGCCGGCGTTCTCTCGTTGCGATTTATCGTGTTCCGCTAAAAAGGCTACTTGGTATATCTATGCTTTGTATGGTTAGTGCTCTTGGTCTTGCTAGTCCCATAATAATAAAATCTAAATTTTTTATGCTGAATCTCGAGATAAAAACTGGACTGGGATGAGAGTCTGCCTGTACACTTAAGCACAGCCTGGGTCAACTTTTTCGCAAATTTTGAGCATACACAGAATTTTCAGTATCCCCGTCGTGCACTCTCATCAGACAGTACAGTGGAGATTCACGAATTTTGTTCTGCCAGCCTGACCGCTTATGAAGTATGCGTCTACGCAGTCTCGAAGTGCCATGGCAACGTCTCTTATGCTCCAAAATCTGGAACTCTACGGAGCAGCAATACTGGCTCAACTTCTCTGCGGAACATGCCATATGAAAGTGTCCGACTGTCGGATTTGCTGTCAATCAAACGAAATTCAATGTTTTCGTTGCCAATCGGGTCGCAGCTAAGAGCTCACCACTGGCATGGAATGGCATCACATTCCCACTGAGTTAAGCCCTGCGGATACAATTTCACGGGGAGCGCTGCTTGGTGAGCTCTCCCGGTTCCATTGTTGGCCCATGTTCATTACTTCTCAGCAAGGGAAAGAAAGGGTGACCAGCCTCCTATGTGCCCGTCGAATACTTGGCAAAACTTCGTCACAAGGTACTACTCGGAAGTGCAGAGCAACTTGATCTCTCGATTGGCTGCAAGTTTATCAACACGTTCTCCAAGTTGCAACGGGTCTTTGCTTATTTTTACAAATTTCTAAATCGAATCTGAGGAGCTGTAGACCACGTGTATCATGGCACACATTTGCTGCAGCGATCAGCTCAAATGGCTACTCTTGGCGATGACTACAAGGCACTGAAGGAAGGAAGGCATGTTAAATCGTCTAGCTCAATGATCTCTCGCTCCATTCCTTGACGACTTCGGCCTTCGCATCGGTGCACGGCGGAATAAATCTTCGTTGAACTTCTTAACGCGACATCCGATTACATTGTCAGCATCTTGCAACGCGAACAATAATAGTTTACTTTCATAAATGGAAATTACATGCTGAACGTCGAACCTTATTGCCTTCGATTCGGCTCCAAATCTGCATGATTTGGCCCAATCGGCCCATTGGCGGTCGAAAAATGTCTCCAGTGTTGTTGCCAAATGCACAAAGTGCGCAACAGGCCAGCAGTGAAATGCTATATCAACCTGTTCATATGCTTCACTACAAAGGCGGTGCACTAATAGCTTGTGATTGACTTGTCTACAACATCACTTTTCAACGCTCTACAACGGTTCATCCTAACTCGACTTTGACCTGCAAGGATCTGGTCTGATCTGGATTGAGGTGCCAAGAATGAACTGTCAGATCTGACCCGGCTGTTCCTTAGTGACCATGTCAAGGCTGTTCACGAGTTTTGCCTATCCTACACAATTTAATTGTTGTACATCCCTCCTCGCTCTCTGCATTTTGGCGGACTATAGGAAGCCGCCGTGGAAACTGCGAAGCACCACTTTTATTGCTTTGATGGCCCTTCCATTCTGGATTTTGATTCGCTGCGCAGGCTCATCTGCCACATCACGAAAATTATTAATTCTCGACCATTACTTCCACATTCAACGCATCCAGGTGACCTTGACATGTTGACACCCGCAAGCTTCCTGGCTACACCGCCATCTGCGTTATACATTGAGCTTGATATAAGAGAGCTTAACTTCAATCAGCTTAACTATATTCATATCATATCTCGAAGAATAGACGACAAGTAAGAAAAAACAATGGAGTCAGGTGGGTGACAAAACCCAGGGGACTGGCGTACGCTGGACCCATCAGCGATGCAAGCTGGTGGCAATTGCCTACGAATCCTAGATGGATAAGGAGGGCCGCGCCTAAATGATGTTACCGAGATCAGAGTGGACGCACTGATTGCCACCGAGGTTGGGCAAACCATCGCCGATCTCGAGGATGTTACCTATTCTCCCGAGACTTTTCCCTAGTCGCCTGCAAGGCCACCTCCAAATATTTCGGAACATACCTGGCGTAACTGCCTTGAATATTTAGAGGACCTCGAAGAGCCATCACATATGGTATCGCCTTCGATCGTAGTAGAAGTATACTGTGACAGAGCCCCCCTGTGGCTCTTGAGTAGCTGGCTGAGGGATAGCATGCTAATGCTTATCATGCCCTCAACGCTAGAGCACAACATTCTGGGTATGAATATCCTTTGTGCGATGGACACCACTATGCGATACGGCAGCTCCCAACTGGTCCTAGAAACGAGGCCTGAGATGCCAGCCTCGGGCGAAGGGCCAAAAAAAGGCCTCCCACTTCAGCGAAAGGGAGTGCGTGCTTGGCAACCGAACGAAGAGAACAGCGAGAAAGAAGGTGTCAGGGCCCCGCTCGGAGTCAGACAGAACCCACGACGGTCCCAAAAAGTGGTGGGCTGGACTGCAGCTGTGTTGGTCATCGGATTAGTAGGGCGAAAATATGCCAGAACACGGAGCGGCGTCCATCGAGGGATAAGAAAGGCGGAGTGAATCACCCGCAGAGGAGGCTGAGTGGCCAGCGGACCTGAGTCCTGAACTGAGGAATTTGCTGGAGTGGGTACTGGCACTCGGCTAGTGTGGTCGATGTGGATGAGCCGATACAGGTTCCATCGAGCCGTTGCGTAGTCCTCACAGCGCATCAATCTTCTTAATCAAGAAGAAGACTGGATAATAACGCATGTTCATAAACTACCGAAGACTAAATGTGCACACCATTCCGGATGTTTACCTCTTCCCTATAATCAACCACATCCTCGACCGGTCTTGTCAAGCTCGCTTCACGACGTTTACGGTGTTTACGGCGCCCGGAACAAGTTTGTTACGATGGCGGGTGATGTAATTTGGCCTACATTCAACATCCTCTAACTTACAGCGGGCATTCGACATAATAAACACACAGTATTGGCCGAGTCCCCCTGAAAATGGGTCTCGACTATGCGTGCCAAGACCGCCGAGGAACCTGTCATGCTCTCCGACTATATCAAGGAGAAAGGACATTTGGGCCACCGGAAGAACGACGAGGACTATATTCTCTGGACACTTAACGTATACAGTTATCAACGGCAAAGAGTGCTGCGGGAATGTCACGATGCACCCACGGCTGGACGCCAAGGCGTGAGGAAGTTCGTGTGTGATAAAAGAGTACTGTTGTACGAATTTATAAGTCCTTCCTGAAATACTTGTGGTAGAAAGTCCAATACACTGCTCCCTACTGACCCCGAGAGGATCCCAATGAGAGGATCAGCAGGACGTTAAACACCATGATATCGCAATTTTTCGAGAGCTATCAGAGTTCGTGGCACGATATCACTCGATATCGGTTAACTCCAGTGTGGCGGACTTGACGGGTTCAGTCCCGCCTTTCCCATGCAGGACAGAGAACAGCGTGTGTCCGCCGCATTATTCGATCAGGTTACTTCGGGGTCTACAACTAGCACATTCGACTCCAGGGAAAGGGCTGTAGATTGAGATAAATTTTTAACCTTGTCCACGGTAATCTGCAACCTGCTTCAAAGGGTTAAGGCGGGCACTACAACTTGTTACAATGAGAATGGCGGCCTTGGTTGGACTCGATGTTCCTTAGTACGCAGCACTAATTGTCCAAGGCCACTGAGGGCTTTGCCGTAAATTTTACGTGCTGTATTCCCCAACATTTTACGTCTCGTTACATCCGGCGAGCGTAAGAACACTGGCCAATATTGCTCAATAAAAATCTTTCTTTCAGGGAACGACTAGCGAAGACGAAGAGGCACAAGGCCGGATTGACTCAAGCGCCAGTGAAGAGAGTAAGCACGTCCCTTTCGCTAGCCATAACGCAACGCCTTGGTAGTCTTCTGATAATAATCGTGGATTTATCCTAATCCTAGTAAAATGGAGCAATTATATTACGTAGATTGCTAGTTATGTAATGGAATTTTTAACATATTTTAAACATAATATCGAAACATTAATTGAACTTGAACTTCGCAATCCGGCGTTCAACCTAACCCTTTTCCTTAAAGTAAAAGCGCTGTGTTGAGGCTGAGTCCAGGCGTCAGAAAGAGAGCAATCCCGGTATGTGTCTTTAGTATACGACTAACCTGACGTAAGTGAAGACCATTGAGGTAAGCTCAAACAGCTCTGTAACATGAATTATGCTTTGCCTGATGGATCTATACTGGTTGTAGATAACAGTGTCACACATAGGGTATCGACGTCGTCTGTATTCATAAAGCAGAAAAAAACGATCATAATCTTCGACAACACCACAGCTGTCGCACTGAACGTAAAGTATAAAATAGACGCACTACGAGTATTTATTGCGGGGACTAAGAAAAGAGATCAAGAAGAGAAGCACTTTAGTAGCACTATAGAATAGGCAACAAGGATGTCCTTATGTACCTCCTCAAAAACAAGAACAACCGCAACGGATATAAACAATTCGTTATGTTTTAGGCAAACCACACAACATCAACAAAATGTCCTAGGCAATACATTTAATGACTTTGAAAGAATAAAAATTACACAACAGGAGCTACCTATTAATTACGAAAATATCTTAAAATTACCCCTGTTGCGGCCCATAGAGTCTTCAAATCGACAACATACGGACATTTTCAGCGGCGACGTCACCCCATGTGCTTCGGTCTAACCTTTTGAAGCCAGCTAGAATACGATTGTTGAGAATGTCAACCGAACGCACAAGCTTCGAGTGCCATGTGATCAGTGCCACGCCGTACCACGCTCAGCGCACAACGTCGCTGCGGCTGATTTTCTTTCTGGATATATATGTACATATGTTTTTCTTGAATTCTTTACAGCCCAGAGACATATGTGTATATATACACTGCATGGTTTTAAAAAACCATAGGCGAGATACATACGTATGTATTTATTGTGTGGATGTGCGCAAATGCTATTAATGCGTTTGTGCCAGATTATCGTCTTCAATACGTCGGCGTAAGGAAAACATGATTTATTGTTGGACAATAAATAATTTATAAAACTACTTAATTATTTATATTTTACAAAGTCATCTTTACATTTTTTGTTTGCTATGGGGACCTATTTAAATACTACCATACTCGGAGTGCGTCTGACACTTTTAGAAATGTTACTCACATTGGGCATAATAAAATGGACGAAACCACTTATTGGGTGCTTGACGACTCTATTTATTGAAAACTTAGTAGAAAATGCTAGCTAAGGAACTTATTACTTCTCTGGTCGCTCAAATTAATTTTATTTCATATTAGCAAGAGATAACACTTCTGTTTGAATTTATTTAAAACACATTATGTTATTTGAATTAAAACAAGAATGCCCTAGTTGGAAGTGCCCGACTGGGGATACCCTAAACTAACTTCTATCAAATCCAGCTCTCGCTAAGCGCTCGTTTGTTTAAACATTTAAAAAAACAAATTTTAAAGTTGCTCCCCCGTACCATACTTCAACTCGCAACTCCATTTAACCTTATCACCCTCTTCTACTCCACAACTATACCAAGAAATGAGTTTCAATGATTAAATCTGAATTTAAATGGTAGCACATACACAGGGCTTAGCATAGGATACAATCGCAATTGTTTTTTTTTTTTTTGTATTCTGTTTATTGGCAAACTATTATAAAAATATAAGTTACATTTTATGCTTAGCATATAGTTGGGGAACGCGATTATTGGGCAGCGTGAATAGTCTGCGGAACGGCCGCAAAGCATTGCTTCACAGGCATGTTTTTGCTACCTAAACTTCCTCCGCTCTCCGTCTGTTGCGCTTAACTCTCCTGAGTTCCAGAATTACTTCTGCTGCAAAGGTGCTGGCTGCGTCCCACTCTCGCGCGGTCTCTAGCATGTTCCTGACCAGGTTGTCCGTCGTGATAGGTCTGCCCATGCTGTCCTCCAGTTCCTGTCTGTTCGCTGAGAACCGTCCACACTCGAAGATGAAGTGGTTCGCGTCCTCTGCGATTCCTCTGCCGTACGAAAAACACTCGTCTGTGTTGTCGTGGCCAAATTGCTTCAAGTAGTTTCCATACATGTGGTTTATCCAGGCTTCAAGGTGTTTGATGAGCCTATGCGTCCAGGGTCCTTTAGATGAGCGATCCCAACGTGCTTGCTTTGCATCCTTGCTGTGGTGCGAACCGAGTTTGCTCTGCTGATTCCATTTATAGCTCTATAGCAGACTAAGCTTCCATTCCTGCGATGACGAAAGCCGCTTCGTCTGATACTTGGGCGATAAATTAACTTTACGCTCCGGCTGTAGCTAGGAACAGCCATTGCTCTGCTCTAGATGGGGGACGCGTACATTATGACCGCCTTGTTTACGGTCATGAGAAGACGGCGTCTGCGGTTTCGGTCCTCGTGTGTTCAGCATAATTCTGAATAGCGCTCGACAGGATTCTGCTGCTTTCTTGTGCACAAATTCCAAGTGCTCTCTGAACGACATCATTGTGTCTAACACCGCTTCTGATTTATGAGCAGCCAGCTCAAGTCCAGCTGCTGCCAGCTATTGGTTTACACGGTCAATGCTGTGGTTGCACGATTCATCGACGTCCTTCAATTCTTTGCCGACGATTACAACGGCCACGTCGTCCGCGAAGCCGATGATATTTGTATCGATCGGGAATTCCAGTCGGAGGATGCCATCGTACATTATGTTCCAGAGGAGCGGTCCTAGGACTGAACCTTGGGGCACCCCCGCTGACACTCGGTGTGTAGTGGGGCCAACTGCGGCGTCGTATTGCAGCAGTCTTCCTCTCAAGTAGCTGCTTATCGTCTGCTGAAGGAAGTCTGGGACGCGGAACGTTGACAGGGCATCCAATATTTTGTCCAACATCCAGCGTGACAATGAGGCAGTACTTTTTTGTGCCGCTCTTCCATCTAGATCCTTGGATGGCGTTTGTTGCTATGCCGACCACTTTATCTAAAGCGTCTACTATCGACTTTTCCTTGGTGAAGCCAATTGGTTTTGGGACAAGCCACCATTGTTGTCAATAGCTGCTTCCAGCCTGGTGCAGATTAGTTTCTCCAGTGCTTTGCCCAACGTGTCCAGGAGGCAAATCGGTCTGTTTGACGATGGGTCGTTTGGCGGCTTACCGGGCTTCGGTAGCAGGACTAGCTTTTGAAGTTTCCATATCGTGGGGAATGTTCTCTCAGATAACCACCTTTTAAAAAGCTGTACAAACTGCTCAGGGTGCAAGGACATGCCCCATTCCACTGCCTAGGCGTTGAAGTCACCAGCAATAATGTATCTCGGCATCTGAAGCATGCGCATTTTAAGTCCTCAGCGCTGGTGCAGTTTGCAGCGATGTGGCCGAAACCCTGCCATTTAAAAAATCGTTTTGGCTGGTTGATTGCACGTATCCGGCAGACCACCCATCCAATCCTTACCTTGGCCATCTCGACTAGCGCCCTGGCTTTTGACGCTGGGAGAGTTATTGTGGCCCTTTTCTGGCCGCCAAATGCTGGTCGCAGCGACTTGATCGCTTCAACCGACAGGGAGTCTTCTTATAGGGCAACTTTAACTGCGTTGAGCATTTCTTCTTTCATCGCCAGCTCGTCCAGGTCCCTTATCTCAACCTGAGACGACTCATTTAGCGTTCTCAATATAGCCTGGTCTCCTAAGGCCTTTCCCACAGCTTCATGAAGCTCGATTGCGGAGTGCTCCGGCTTCTTACTAAGGCGCAGCCTTCGCCTTTCGCAGTCTTTCGAATACCCTGCACATCGCCACTTAGGTGCTTGAGGGCTGGGTCGCCCTTCACGAGCCTAAGCATGTCGGCATATGTACAGTCCCCCACTCCGTGGACTGTAATGGCGTCGGCTCTGGCACGCTTACGCGCTCGTTTTCGTCCGTTGACTGCTGTCCAGCCCTGGGAGTTGCCTTGCCGACCAGCCGTGTTTGGGTTGGCAGGAGCTGCCTTTGGCTGCGTGAGCACTGCCTGCTTCGCTGGGTTCTGGTCCTGGCGCTTAGCCCTTTTGGAGGGAGTTCCGCGCTGTTCTGTCATGGCATCACTCGGCCACTTGGGTGTGCCTGCACCTTTTTGGGCTCCTAGCTTCGCTGGGCGCGGCCTCACCACGTTTAGTTAGTGAAGGCGTCGTTTGCACCTCGCCGCACTTTGTTTCCACTGCGCAGAGCTTGAGCGCCATCTTCTGCAGTTTCTCTGCCTTCGCGAGTTCATCTCTCATCAGCCCGTTAATGTGGCGTTGTCTGCTGAACAGCGCCGTTAGGCCGTCTAGGACTATGCCCATCTCTTCTATTGTGCCTCTAAGGGCTCTTGGCAGCTCAATGCTCGCTTTTGCCGGCGAGGAGTCTGCCACTCTTTGCTGCACTGGCGTGACCACCCGGTGTGGCGGTGATCGCTGCAGCGCAGAGCAGCGCGCAAAGGCCTGCAGCTCCTTCTCCATTTTCTCCTGTCTAGGCACCTGCTCTTACTTACAGGGCTCAACAGGATCCCTCTATGGCCAGAAGGCTTTTGACCGCTGGGAGTTATACCGCTCCAACTCGGTCATCAGAGCCCCGTTTTTATGGGCACCGCCGCGGCGGGGGGTTGGAAATTGCTCTGTTTCTCGACCTTTTACACCTCTTCGCCCTGGAGCCTGCAGTGAGCACAGGTACCGATTTCTTCGCCTGTTCTTAAGCGCGAATTAGACAGTAAAGCTTACCTGTTTACCAGGAAAAGCTTAAGCCTGAAAGGATGCTGTATTTTCTGACCGCTATCTTTGGCACCTTATCGCCTGGTTGTTGTCTTCGCTACGAAGTTTGGCAGCTGGTCCTATAGTGCAGATCAGCTGGGTGTGAACTGCACTAGCCAACACTGCTAACAGTTGTTAGAGTGAATGCAACCAATTGCACAAATAGCTTCGCGAGAAGGCTACTGGTTTTGAATGGTAAAACACCGAAAAGGGCACAAAAACACACCAAGGAGACGACTCAACAAAGAGTTAGAGATGCCGCCCCAGAAATGCTCTGCACGGATTTCGCAGTGAGTAACACCGCGAACCTTTTGGTGCATTAGGCCCAGTTCGATGCGCACATGTACTAACTCTATAACAATTTTCACAGGAAAACCACTTGTTTTAGTCACCAAATTTCCTATGTTGCTTCTACAATATTATATATATTTTAAGTATCTTTCATTTTATACCTATCGACACCACCTCCCCGCCACCATCGCAGAGCTATAAATCAAATTAATAACCAAACTTATATTGCCCACCAATTTCAGCCACAAATTTAATGCAATTGACTTTTTCAGAATACAGAAATATTCTATGGTACAATAAGATATACTGTTTCATTTAGATCGGTTAAGAAAAAACCAAAGTTATATGTAACCGCGCAATGGGATGGGGCAGCTAGCGAAAACTTCAAGAATTTCTATATACATGTACACACACACACATTCATGCGCGTCTGCTTTGAATTCTATCAACAACATTGTAATTGCGATTGTATTTTTTTCTGTGCTGCTGTTTTAATTAGTTTTTTCTCGATAAGAGTCAATTGTTGGTGTTGCTGTTGAGTAAAGGCGAAGGAATTTTATTTTATTGCTTCTAAAGCAAACAAGCGCGTAGCACGAGCTGCATTTTGTGTTGGTAAAAGAGGATTCAGGGGATCCCCTGGTCGAGAATTTCCGACAGGAGCCTCTTACTTGTTTTGATAATAAAAACTTTTCATCAAAATAACATTGTTTACAAAAATGCAAAAATTTATCATTTCTTGTGCCCTTTTCTAGTTAATATTCATTACATCTCGTTGTATACCGACGTGCAGGTATACATAATGAATACATACATTGTGGCACAAAATAGAGATTGTTTAATTATGTCCGCCAAATAATTGGAATAGCTGTCTATCAACGACTACATATACATATATTTTTGAAATTTAAGTTAGGTATCTGTGAATGTTTGCTTTGCTTTTTGTATTATAAATATTCTGTTTTTGCCTCCATCCAAAGCACTTGTTTGCAATATTTTACATATTGAGCACATGGGAGGGAGTTACTCAAACATGGCCATTGATGAGGTTGGTACAACTTCCAGTAGTAACTGAAAGAACAGTGTCACCTTATCTACAATAACGTTTTAAAGAAAAGAAACATTAAAAAAATGGTATGTCATTTTATGTGTAATTCTGATATTTACTTACTCATAAAGCGCGGGGTCATTCCTAGTTTAACGAAAGGTACGTAAAATATTAGGCCCGCGAAGATGAAGAGCAACGCATATAAATATTCTATGCGAGGGGTCTGGAAAATTGGCGCTGCAACAAGGTAGACAGATATAATCAAGACCACAACAGGAATGACAATGGGCACTTTGTAAGGCCGTGGATGATTTGGTTTGGTGTAGCGCATCACTATAAGTGCCAACATGGCGCCGCCATAAAATATCCATGCTGTGAAGCTGAAGAAGTCAATCAGCGAATCAATCGTGCCATGCAGCACCATGGCTGAGGCAATTAACGACTGTTAAGAAAATAAAAAAAGATTAATAAGAGGAGACCGTTTGAGCTCGATAGCCATTCTTTGAAATGTAGAGTAAATAAACATAAATATTACTATGATTTTTGAACTTACATGGAATATAAGACCAGGAGCAGGAGTTAAACGTCGTACATGTACGTATGATAAAATGTCTAGTAGATGTCCCTCTCGACTGGCTGCAAAGCAAAGACTGCAGTAAAAAAATAGGTATATAAATAGAAAACAAACAAAGAGCGAGAGACGTGTATTTAGGTTAAATATGTAACCTACCGTCCTGCGGCAAAAAGTGTACCATTAGCACTACCAAATGTGCTAACAGTGACACTAAGTGGCATTAGCCAAGCAAGGGCGCCTAAAATGCGATTGCCAAAGGTGACAGCGACCGCCTCGGATTCGATCATTTCTTGCGCTGACATGGCTGCTAGGTAGGATATGTTGATCAGCGCGTAACACAAAGTAACCAGTGGTATGCCAATCATGATAGATCGCGGCAAGTTTTTGCTTGGATTCTTTATCTCCTCGGTAACATAGTTGAGGTTGTTCCAACCATCGTATGCCCAAAGGCCAGTGTAAAATGCGGTTGCGATTGCGCCAATATTTGGCATTGGCCCATCAAATGCATGTGACAAATGCTGGGTGTTGCCCTGTAGTAACTTCCAAGCACCACCGCATATTACAATGACAACGGCAACTAATTTAGCCGCCGTAAATACGTTCTGCACTGCCATTCCCAAATTGACGCTGTAGCAATTCACGAACAATATCATCACTGACAACGCACAACAGCAAAATTAAGGAATTAGGTTTCTTTTAAATTGTAAATTGCACTTATTGTACAACGCTTACCAATTGCCACCAGTGCAACCATCTTTACAACCCCTCTAGGCGGATCACATTCTGTCACAAAGGCCTCAACAGCGTATTGTGCAAATGATAAGCATATTATTGCCATTTGAGATGGCTTCAACACCAATGTCGATACCCATGAGAATAAAAAAGCCGGTGCCGGTCCATAGGCGTCCATAAAGTAGGCCCATTCCGCACCAGATGAGGTATTCATTGTGCCAAGTTCGGCATATGCCAGAGCTCCTAAACCGTACGAAACAAAAAGGATTTAATTGGTCTCTATATGTTAAACACACGGTGCAAATTTGAAGAAAAGTATGATGTGTGATTGGTTTTTTATGCGATGTTCCCACATATAAAATATTACAAAAATTAATTTTCACCGCATGTGTTCTTTAAAAGTACAGACGTATATATTTTTTGTTACATAATCAATACGCAAGCAGATATTGTAGGAACTAGAGATTCGGGGTTGGGTTCGCACGCATGCCTTACCCAAAGCATGTTTAATTGTATTTCTTTCGACTAGAGTAATTTTTATACCATGAACCCATTGAAAATGGGTGTAAAGGTTATTAAGTATTTGTGTAAATGTATGTAACTGGAAGAAGGCGGCATCTCCGACACCATAAAGTATATATATTCTTGATCAGCATCAATAGCCGAGTCGATCTAGCTATGTCCGTCTATCTGTCCGTCCGTCCGTATGTATGAACGCAAGAATATCAGAACCTATAAGAGCTAGAGACTTGAAATTTTAGCTGCAGGTCCTCATAGTGTCTGCGCAGATCGAATTTCTTGCCGATAATTGATAACATTCCCCGTTTCTAAGCAATCGATAAAAATCGATATCGACATCCTGTTTTTTGAGCAAATTGTGTAAATAATAAGAGCTAGAGTCACCAAACATGATATGTTGCTTCTAGAATATTATATATATGTCAAATATCTTTCATTTTACACCTACCACCACCGCCACCTCCCCGCTACCACCCCAGAGCTATAAATCAAGTTATTAACCCTACTTTTATTGCCAACCAATTTAAGGCACAATTTAAATGCAATTGACTTTTTCAGAATACACAAATATTCTATGGTACAATAAGATATACTGTAGAAAATTTCATAAAGATCGGTTAAGAAAAACCAAAGTTATATGCAACTGCGCAATTGAATGGGGCAGTAGCTTTAAGAATTTCTGTATGCATGTACACACACACATTCATGCGCGTCTGCTTCGCATTCTAAGAGCATGGTAAATGCGACTTTTTTCTGTAATGCTATTTTAGTTCCTTGTTTTATCATTAGTACTTAATTGTTGGTGTGGCTGCTGAGTAGAGGCATAGCAAGTGGAGCGGTCTGTCGCGAGTTCGAGCCCTACCGGGGAAAGTTTTTTTTGTTTTTTTTTTGCTGGTGTGGCTGTTGAATAGAGTCGACAGCAAGTAATGCGGTCAGTTGCGAGCTCGAACCTTGCCAAGGGAACTTTTTTTTTTTAATTTATTCGGTGCTGGAATAAGAGGGTTCAGGGTATTCCCTAGTCGGGAGCTCTCGACTAGAACCTCTAACTTGTTTAGTGTTGTTGTTATTTTGTTTTCTATGTTCTTATAGCTCTCAAGAAACACTTTGGAGTCATCTGTGGTTATCAATTTTGATAGTTTTTGCTGTTTTTATATATTTGGTTTGCTTTTGTAATCAGTTGTGTTAGTGCTTTCTAAGTAAGCTACATATATATCTTGCTATGAAAAAAATGGGTGCGTCTAGTTTATGCCCTAGTTATGTCAGGTTGGAATTTGCTGTCAGTAGTCAGTATTGGAATTTTTCATAAAAATAGGTATTAGGTTTGATTTCCTGCAAATTAAAAGAAATGCTAAGCTATATTTATGTTTAACTAATTTTACCAATGTAATTTGTAATTTGTTAATTGTTCTTTCTGGATTCTTTGTATTTAGTTCTTATTTTTCCCGTTGGGTTTTAAATTATAAAAATTATAAATTATAGAAAACTCTTGATATTAAATGACTTCCCACAAAATGTAAATAGAACATTATTCAAAAGACAACAAATCAGAACACAAAAGCCAACAGAATCTACCAAAATTTACAAATCTCTAACATTGGTACCACGATTATCAGAACGCCTCACGAACTCAGGCTGCTACCATAAACAAGAAATAAGGGTAACCCGTAAGCCTACAAATATATTACACAAATTTTTATGCAACAGCAATTACACAACACTACAACCACTAACAACATAAAATAAACTGGACAGCCAGTGGAAAACGCTGGGGTTCTCGTTTTTTTATGTGGCTGGTCCAAAGTCGCTTTCGTTTTTGTTCGGGTTCGAAACACGCTCGCAGGCTCAGACAGCAAGAGAGTAAGAAATACATATGAGTTGTGTGATAGAACTGCATCGCTGCTCTTTTTTATTCTCTCGCACTACAGGAAACTGTTTTGGCTTACTCTCAGTGCTAGCGTACCGTTTACTGTTTGTATTTGTATGTGTCCGCACAAGCAAAAATGCCCACAAATTCAATTTTTCTCAAAAGTCGATGGTATTTCTTCCCTTTTGAAGGGAAGAGTAATATGAAATAATGAAAGGGTTTGCCATGTCGTTGTTTTGTTGTTGTTTGTTGTTTATGTTTAACTGCACATCGCCTCTCTGGTGTGCAAGATTTCGTGGGCAAGCAAGCAATCTATAAATAGACTACTCTCGCACTCTCGCGCTCCCTCACATTTTTCAACTTGTGCTTTGATCTTTTTCTACTTTCTGCCGCTTGTTGGTGCTCCATACGCTTTTAATCTAATCCAAATAACGCTTTTTAACATTTGGCTGCGTTATTACAGTAGAGACCCATAATAATGGTCCATCAAATTGTCTGTTTGCCAAATGCAAATTACGGCAAGTCAATCCAGCATACCTTGTTGGCTGTGTGATAATGTCGTGCATTCTAAATGTGCGGGTTACACTGGTCTAGTGGGGGATGCTATTGCCAAACGAAATGGCTTGCACTATAGTTGCGACTCGTGTAGAGAGATTGATGGTGAAATGCGGGCGATTATGCTTCAGACTAGGAGAGGCTTTAGGGGTCTGATTGTTGGTTTTCGTAAACTTAACGATCAGCTCACAGTCCTGGACACCCAATTTAATAGCCTTAAACTGTTGGATTAGTCTCCTGGGCCTAAAAAGTCCATTCCTTGTTATTTGTCTAATACCCTTCAGCCTCCGACTGCAATTCAGCAGCCTACTACACCGATTACACAGCAGCTTATCTCCAGTCGAATTATCCGTGTCGTCCGCTATCGTGGGTGTTCCGAAAGGGCGACAGCAACAATTAATTTTACAACAGCCGCTAGAAGGCTCGTCCGCCTACCGGCTGTTTTAGGTACCACAGTTAATAGTGTTTCCACTGTCCTGCCTGTGGCGCCTAAGCCTCTAGTCGGTGTTTCACCGAAGAGACAAATTTTTGTAACTTGTCCCTCACTTCTCATCAGATGATGTAAAAACCTTTATACCGGCAAAAATTGAAGCCAGGTAATGGTGGACAAATTTAAATTCGCTTATGAAAGGGATATTGCATATTTGAAATAAGTGTTTCGCCAGAAATATTTACTGATATTTGTTGTAAAGAGTTTTGGCCTGAACACTTAATAGTAAAAGAATATAAGGCCAAAAAGAAAAATCGGATAACCACCTATTTCGAATGGCGCATCAGCTTAAGTTGTTGCGTCAAAAAACTAATTAATGCTTTCGAGCTTGCCTACCAGAATGTCAGAGTACTTAAATCTAAACTCGCTAGCCTGTATTTAGACTCTCTTTCTTTTAATTTTCAAACTATCGCTTTTACTGAGACCTGGCTGAAGCCGGACATCTCAGACTCTTCAATTGTTACCTCCAAATAGAAAACTTACAGATGTGATCGTGCTTCCCGTATCGGAGGAGGAGTACTCATAGCTGTCGAGTCTGCTCTTTCGTCGGAACACATTGATCTTCCCATCTTAGAGATTGAGTTGGTAGCTGTAAGAGTTGTATTTGGTCCTTTTTTTCTATCTTTATTTCATGTTAATATTTACCTCCTCTATCTAACTTGTCCACCTATCAATCCCATCTTATGGCTATTAAATCTATCTCCTCCCTACTTTCTGATAGATACCTTTTAGTAGTTCTTGGGAACTTTAATCTATCAGATGTCGACTTGTCATCGCCATCCCACTCAAACTTCTGTTGCCGTCTTCGTCAAACGAATTTATTGATTGTCTACATGAAATGTCCTTAAGGCAGGTAAATCGAGTGCGCAACTCAAGAAACAGATCTGTTGATTTGATTTTCGTGTTAGATTTATTCAACAGTGTTGTACATTTCCTGAAGACCCTTTTCATCCAACTCTGGAAATGGTAATTGATTTACCAGCCCGAGTCCCTATCAAGAAATCGGAATAAGCTGAACGTATGCGTTTCTCCGAAAGGCTTTCATAAGCTAAATGATTCTTATTCAAGTCGACTGGTCCCAACTGTACAATTGTGCAGACATTGATGTTGCCATTAAAATTTTTTATGATACCTTGTACTCGATTTTTAATGTCTGCGTTCGTCTTAATCACCCAGCGAGGCCTGATAGGGCTCCCTGGTTCTCAAATGAACTTATGAGGTTAAAATACGTGAAGTCGAGGTGTTATAAAAAGTATAAGAAATCGGGAATTCACTCTGATTTCTCCCTTTATGCAGTTGCCCGATCAAATTTTTGCACTCTAAATTCCATCTGTTATAAGGATTACCCTCGGCGTGTTCGCCTTTAATTTTCACTAATCCTAAGCAATTTTTTAACTTTGTCAATTCTAAACGAAAGACACCTATTTTGCCTTCTTCGGTTAGATATGCAGATGAGAGCGCGAACACTGATCCAGGCATAGCCGACATGTTCGCAAACTTTTTTCAAACTACCTACACCTCCTCTAGGTATAATAAAAATCAGCCTTTTCCTTATCAGTTACAGAGATTAAACTGCATCTTAAATCCCATTGTGACCGAAAGTTCGCTTCTTAGCCACCTTAACACTACCAAGCCGGTTTACTCTTGCTTGCGTGCTTAGATTCTGCAGCATTATGTAAACCTGTTTTAAAACTTTTTGAATTGCCCGTTAACACTTTATCTTTCCCGACCATTTGGAATGAATCATACATTATCTCCATAAGAATGGGAGTAAGTCCGATGTCAAAAGCTATAGTGGTATTTCAAAATTATCCG